CACAACGGCGCACCGCCAGCCCGTCCGGATGTGATCAAGCTTTGAACAATTAGCGTGTCTAAACGTTGGTCTCGCACCGATGATTTCCCCGTCTTATTGCAATTGATATTGGCCACCGCTTTCCCAAGGTACCTGGTCGTGCCGCCAGTTTTGTTTCCTATAAAAATGCACCCTATTTGAAAAATATAAGTTGTAATATTTCATACTTTTTAGATAGAATATGGTTTCATAGAAAATTTTCATTTGTATAATATCTAGAAATTATTTGCGATCATCCGATGTGCCCGATAACATTGCAGTAAATTTGTCTTTTTTTTTCTTTATTAGTGTGTCAATTAATTCAAATTTTTTACTTGGTGTCTGGAATTTAATTGACTTGACAATCTTTTCAGTATCGGTTTCATAAAATGTGCTTAGCTGTATTTCTCATCAATATAAATAATCAGTATAAAAACTTAACATCAAAGTAAAAAACTTCTGTTGTAAGTGATATATGTGATTAAAAAATTAAATTAAAAAATGAAAATGGATTACAAAGTTCAGAACGTTGTCGGACTAATCAGTCCATCTTCAGTGAACTTCTGGAGTATTTGCGTAATTAACCGTAAAACCAAATGAATCTAAACCCAATACCCAATCGCTGTTTGGTGTTGCGGTTAGTTACTCAAATACTCCAAAAGTTCACTGAAGATGGACTGATGACTTCGAGTTCGAAGACATCAAAATTACTACCATGTTAGCGATTTTGACAGGGGTAGAATTATTGAGTTTGAAGAGTGAGAACACCTTTGAATAACTGTTCTGATAAGACCTATTAGGTCGAAATACGTATCAACAGATACAAAGGCGCTGTTTGCGCGAAATCAAATATTTGCTGTCTTTTTCATATTTTATTTCCATTACTTGTTCAATACTGATGCCATCAATTTTTATTTTACATTTGGTTGGTTCTTTGTTGATTACTATTGTTTTAGTTTTCTGAGATGAGATTGTCATATTAAATTCTTATGTTAAATCTGTGAACAAGTCTTTGCGGACTATCTTCAACTTGGGCTATCAATATTGCATTGTTTGTGTAACAGAGTATTTTTATTTCTTTGTTTCGCATTCTGTATCCTGTTCCTTTGTTAACGCTTTTGATGATTTTATCCAAGATTAAATTAAAGAGCGTAGGGATCAATGAGTCCAGTTGTCTTATTCCGCTGCCTATTTCTGTCAGTTTTCCCTCTATTCTGACTTCCATTTTGTTATTTTGGTAAATATTTTCGATAGTTTTTACAATATTTAGGGGAATTGCTCTATTATACAGAAGATGGATTACATCTTTGAGTCTTACTCTGTCAAACGCTTCTTTAAGTCAATCAGACACAGAAATGCTGCGCTATTATACTCTAGTGATTTGTGAGTAGTTTGCTTTATAACGAATATTGTAACTGTACACGATCATCCACTATGAAAACTCTGTCGTTCACCTGATTAAATCCTCTGATTTATTAGTACTGGTAAAATTTTAGTTGTGTTTTAGGGTAGTATTTAACAAGTTTATACCTCAGGCTGTTTTTTATCTTTTTTTAATAGTATAATTAGTTCGCTCGTTCTTCATTCTTCTGGTATTTTGTAATTTTATTAATTAATGTTGTTAATTGTTCTGTCATTACTGCTCCACGATATTTTAGTAATTCCTTATCTTGTCTTTACCTGCTGCTTTTCTGTTCTTCAGCTTTTCAAGTATGTTACGAACTTCGTGTACATTTATATTAAATTCTTCATTTATTGTGTTTCCGATTCTGGTGTTCCCAATTCTAGCGTCGTTTGTTCTTTCTCTGTATAGAGTTTTTTTAAATAATCAATCCACGTCTCCTTTTCTATGCGTTTTGGTTTTATTAGTTCCTTTACCTCTGATCTTTGACGTCTTATAAAGCGCCATATTTCCTTTTGCAGAACGTAAAAATCATGTTCGATTTCTTTCGAAAAGCGTTCCTAATAATAATTTTTTGTTGTTGTTTTAAATACCATTTTTTACTTCTCTGTTCAACATATTCAGGGAATACTTCCTTATTTCCTTATAATGTTTTTAGATAAAAGGATAAAAATAATTCAGATCGAAGTTAGATAGAGATGGAGTCTTCAATTCTAAGAGAGAAAGTAAAAAGGATGTACGGTCAGTAAAAAAACAATAAATCACCAGGTAAAGAGAGCATAACGGCCGACATAATTAAAGCAATTGGAACAATAGGTATTCATACAATTCATAAACTATGCATCATAAATTGGCAATATGGAATGGTGTGCAGTGTATAATGGTAGCAACCACAATAATAGTTCTTATATGACACGCAAGTAAAGGTTAACAACATTATTTTCAACACCTTTAGACCAAGTCTGGTGTAAAGGAAGTCTGTATTTATTATTCAATATATTTAATATTATGCAGAACATTTAAGAGGAAAGTCTTACGGAAACCTTTATAAAGAGTTTAAAAAAGCAAGGTCAATATCATGCTTTCCAAACTATTTAAACCAAAATCAAGTCTAACCTAAGCCTAAAGCTGAAAATACGAATGCTTAAATGTTATGTTTTCTCGGTCCTGTTGTATGGGGTGGAGGCGTGGACACTAAATAAGCAATGTATGGGTAAGCTGGAGGCATTTGAGATGTGGGCGTACCGAAGAATGTTAAAAATCTCCTGGAAGGATAAGATAACTAACCAAGTTGTATTAGACAGGATGAACAAACAAAAGGAGGTCGTATTGAGTGTTAAAATGAGGAAACTACAATACCTGGGACATATTACACGTGGGAATAAATATCAACTGTTACAACTAATTATGCAAGGAAAGATTGAAGGTAGGCGCAGCATAGGTAGGAGAAGAATGTCGTGGTTGAGAAACCTCAGGGAGTGGTTTGCTTGCACTTCCATACAATTGTTCCGAGCGGCAGCCTCCAGGGTCAAAATTGCCATGATGATAGCCAACCTTCGTAGCGGAGATGGCACGTGAAGAAGAAGACAGGTCTAAGAGAAGGCTATATTGAATTACCTTAACTATTTAATATAAGTATATATCAAGTATATGTTATAATAAACAGAACAGAAACTGGTCCAAATAATGAGCAATCTGAATACGGTCTTGTGGTGAAAAAAAAAATCAGTCAAATCATTATAATAAGCCTGTGACAAAGGAATCAAACACCATCTGGGGGTAGTGCATAAGGTAACTATTAAACTAACTCATATATGAAAATATTTAGGAATATCTAATCATCTTTCCTATTGTAGCAGATACATCTGTGACATGGACGTTAAAGGTTGCCAACTGAAAAAAAAATAGATCATTACACAGAGTTTGTAAAATGTACAGAACATTACACCAACATTTAAACTATAAAGCTTATAAAGGTCTGCAATACTCAACAAAATTAAATCAGCCTTACCTCAGATACTTCGGAAACATAGAAAGAAAAACAGAAGACCTAGAAAAACTGGCCGTCGAGGGTAAAATGTATGGCCATACTTTACACGAAGCTTCCCTAATAGCCCAAGATCAGTACGACACTAGTACGTAATGTCACTATCAGAAGCGGATACACGGGGGGTGAAAATAATATGGAAATCCCCCCCCCCCCATCAAAAAGATCCAAAATTAAATAAAAATAAAATAAAGAAAAAAAAATAAAGAAAACAAACAATTGGTGAGAATCGATAAAACCTTAATATAAATTTTAGAATCCTAAGATCGATAAACATTTTGACAAAAAGTGTTCTAGTTTCATTGAATGGTATAGAGGTCTAAAGATTTGGTTATGGCTCTATAATGGTTTGGACTGGAAGAAGTCTGGAAGAGAACGCGTAACTATACCCTGCTGCTATTACCACACATTTTACTAGTGCTAAAGAACACGATTGGGTTTATAGCTATGTACTTGGAAGCTCCCGATTGCTCTACAAATTCTCTAGAACTCTATAAGCAAGATTAATAAAAGAATGTAAAAATATTCCTTCGGAACATTCTCGAAGAGTCACCAAAAGCATTTCAAGGAAATATCATGACGTTATACGTGTAGATGAAAAAACATGAACTATTTAACAAAAACTTAAAACCAATGAAAAATATATCGTCATACTTTATTGTATAATATTGTTACATTATTAATTACATGTTAAGAACTTTCCTTATAAATATAGGAAGTTTTAAATTCCTGTATTTATTAATTTCCTTGGATAAAATAGTGATTTTAAAAGTTTGCATGATTTATTTGTGTATTGTTTTCATTCAAAAAGTTATACAAGGCATACAATAGTGTTCTCCTTAGTTTTTAAGCAGAATATTCGAAAGTACACAGGGACAGAAGACACCAAACGAAAGCTGGAAGTCTTTGAGAGAAAAGTTCTAAGAAATATATTTGGACCTTTGAACGAAAACGGAGTATGGAGATTGAGGTACAACCATGAACTTTACCAACTATTCTGAGAATGGAGAGTGAAAGATTGTCAAAAATATTCCTAAATAGATAAATGCAGGGCGCAAGACCAAAAGGACGGCAACCGAATAGGTGGGAGGATGAAGTAGCAGCGGACGTGCAAAATTTGATAGACGCGAGAACCTGAAGAAGATCGTTGCGAGACCGGCATAGTTTGGAGGAGGCAGGGCTAAATTTGGGCTGTAGCGCCATTGGAGAAAGAGAGAGATTAGAAAGAACATGTATATAACTAGTCCTAACAAAGTTTGCAACGAAAAAACTGCCATTTGTCCTTGTCCTAGTAGAATTAAGATCTGGTATTATAAACCCGAAGCAGATCATCACTTTCTGGACATTATAATATAACTTTCATTTTTTAATAGTTCTGGTTTAACAAAGTCCACGGCTATTACTAACATATTCTTTTTCTTCTTGTAGTGCCTATCCGTTTCGGATATTGGCAACCATCATGGCATAACAAATTACCAGTATTAATTAAAATTATCAACATACATTCAATTTAATTATATATTTCGTTTGCAGTGATCACTTTCCGTTCTACAAACAAAACGATGATAGATGGAAGAATTCAGTCAGACACAATCTGTCGATAAACCCTCATTTTAGGAAAGGGGGAAAAGCAGTTCAAGGAGCTGGTCATCTTTGGACTATTGCCCAGAGAGATGCTCAAAAATGTGCCCAAATTGTAAGTAAAATCTTAATAACATTAAGATTTAATGTATTTCATGTGCATTTTTACAATAATTTTTACAAACACTTACTAAAAATTATTGTGAATAAGTTCTAAAACATTCTTCTTAAATTTGAATGTCAAGGTTTTGTAGTCTTGCAGAAATAAATAAACTACATTTAATTTTATTTTTAAATTTTTTCTATTTCTATTGATAATATTCTTATTCCGTCCCTTAGTGTATAAATTCTTATACTGTCATACGATGTTACGATGTGTTACGTTTTATAATTTCTATACTCATTATCCTTTTAAGTATTTCTCTTTTTTATCATTTTACGATGTTTATTTCATGGTTATACCTTTTTTAGAAAAAAATCAGGATATTAGCAATAACTTGTTCGTAAAATCCTCAGATATTTGCATAAAATATACAAAATATGCTATATATGCATTTTCCATATTTGATTAAGTCTAGAGATCTTACTTTATTAAAGTAGATCCAGTCTCTTTTCTATTTTATGTTTTATTTAATACTTAGATAACTTGTTTGTTATTTGCCTTCAGGATTTTCATATAAATTAGTTAATAATAATGTGTATAAATAAAATCCTTGCATTGTTGATATTATTAATAAATGTTTAACTTAATTTATTTACACAGAAACAAAGGATTAGTCAGTTCTTCCAGAATTTTTATGCGGATTCCCACAGTACACCCCAGGATCTTGTAGAAAAGGAACTACAAGCAGCAACGCAGAGTATTTTAGGAGAAATTAACCCTGTAAGTAGAATAATGTTATAAACTACTGCCTAAAATAACCGCACCACCTTAAATGTACCACAAGTTTTTGAAGCTATTTTTCTTCTGAACGAATAATTTGGTTTTGATCATTTTTATTTCATAATATAGATCTGTTTCTAGTGAATCACTGTATTAATATTTTCTTAAAAAATCAATGTTTTACCCGTATACTGGGTGTAAAAATAAAGTTGTGTTTTTTTATCGTACTTTGCAACACCCTGTGGAATTTATTAGAAACAATATTTTGATCTTTGTCTTATTTTTATTAATATTTTGTCTTAGTCTTATTAATATTTTGAGATAGACTTGAGATAGATTATTTTCAAAATTTTTGTATAAAAAATTATCTCGATATCTCTACTATCAAAGACTATACAGAACTTTAAATGTAACAGGTTTTTATTAACATTTAAAGCAAAGAAAACACTACTTACATAAACTTTATTGTCATTTAATACAACTAAAGTCTAAAAAACATAATTTAAATAATTTTTAATAAATCTCTCTCCCAAAAACACTTAATAACGAGTATTTCCACCTCTACATCTAATTCCTTTTTCACAGCGACGAGGCATACTTAAAATCAAGCGGCGTATTTATCTATCTATCTATCTATAGCCCAAAATCTATTCTTGTGTTGAATATAGGCCTCTCCCATTTGTCTCCATTTGTCCCTGTCTTCTGTTTGTCTTTTCCACATTGAACCTGCTCTTTGCTCAGTGTCATCTTTTCATCTCATTTGCGGTCGACCTCTTGACCTTTTTGCAGTATATGGTATCCAGCGGCCAATTTCTTTATTCCATCTTTCATCCTGATATCTTTCGTTATGCCCAGCCCATTTCCATTTTAATTTCAATGCATGTTCGACAGCGTCTGTTGTTTCAATTTTGCATCTTATCCACTCGTTCCTCCTTTTATCTCTCAACGATATTCCCAACATTTGTCTTTCCATAGCTCTTTGAGTTTTCTTTATTCTATCTAAGTTGCTCTTGGTACACGTCCACACCTGGGCACCGTATGTCAGAACAGGTAGGATGCATGCATTAAGTACTTTCGTTCTTAATTTTAAAGGTATTTTTTGGTTTTATAGTATATGAAAGTTTTCCGAATACAGCCCACTCCATTCTTATTCTTCTGGTTATTTCTTTAGTCTGGTTACTTTTGTCTGCTCTGATAGCTTGTCCTAACTAAATATATTCTTGGACGTGTTCTATGTTTGTTCCACCTATGGTAATTACTGATCTGTCTTCTGTATTAGTCATTATTTTAGTTTTCTTTAGATTCATTTTTAGTCCTTTCTCAAAAGATGTTTTTTATAAGTCTGAAATCAATATTCGTAGTTGTTCCATAGTTATTGCTATCAGGAGTACATCATCGGCGAATCTTAGATGATTTAAATATTTCCCGTTTATACAAATCCCTTTATTGTCCCAGTCTATAAATTTAAAAACGTCTTCCAACGCCAGAGTAAATAGTTTGGGTGAGATTGTATCCCCTTATCTGACACCTCTACAAATTCTAATTAATGGAGTTTGCAAATCTCTGTCTAGCTGAATTCTCATAGCTATGAGAATTCAGCGGCGTATTTGGTCTTGATCAATTGCAAACTTCTCTCACTATAACTTCTATATTATCAAGAGAGACAGGTAATGGTTGCTGACTCTTGAGTTGGCGATCAATAATATCCCACAGATTCTCAATGGGATCTAGATTAGGGCTACAGGGTGACCAGTTCATGGTTTGTCTTACGACCTCGTCCAAATAATCACGCACCACATGTGCAACATGTGGCCGAATGTTATCGTGCATTAAAAGAAAATTATTTCCTATGTAAGGAGCAAATGGAACCACATGGTTAGACAAACTGTCTGTAATATACCTTTCACTTGTTAAGGAACCCCTTCGTAAAGCACCAAGTTTCGTTCGCGCTATAAGAGATGTCTCTTTCCAAACCATTACAGATCATCTATTGAATAAAGTAATAGGTCGTATATTGCACTGTGATGCTCTCTGGTAAATTGTAATCTCCTTCTACGATGATTTACCTTTAACGCTGGAGCTCTGACTTATACTTTGAACGTACTTTTCATTTTTATAATAAAGATATCGATAATGTTCACGACAATGTTGCAAAAAATGAAGCTTCGAAGTATCTCGAAGATGTAGCGTTTGCTTAATAAATTCCACAGGGTGTCGCAAAATAAGATACAAAATCAAATTTGTTGGTTTATTTATCAAACAAACGTGGTCGACAATAATATGTTCTGGACCAATGTTCAGCATAGTGAACGAAGAAACCAATTTCTTGATAAACGTTTCGTATCAAGACGAAACTCATCTTAAACATTCATGTTAACGATTATATTAATCGACAACTCATTTACTTTTCATTTGAATACCAACGTTTTATTATTTCACATAGAAAAACCACTTCACAATGAACGAGTTACGATTTAATGTGCTATAACTCAACATGGGATTATTGATCCTTATTTTGTATCCAATTGTTGTCAATAAAGACAGCAGTTATATGTAGAATATTATTACACGTTTTGTGAGAGATTTACAAAACTTTTGCTGCGCATGAAATCTGCAGGTGCAGAGGCAAAATATACAAAAAATATAAGATTGGGTTGTCTAAATTGTACTTCAAATCTACAAAAATATAAAAGATAAATCAAAATATAAATCCTTGAGTGCTAGACACCTACGTCTTTGTATCCTGACGAGGACATTGTAGTTTTCTATGACAACACAAAAGTGGCTAATGAAATAAAAGTTCAAGATTAATATTTGGAGATTTCAATCTCATCATCTTTGGACCAGAACAAAGAAATGACAAATAAACACAGCCTATATAAAGTCTAAATTTCGGTATAATTACTGTTTATTTTGGCGAATACCGTAATAACATAGTTTTAGCAGCGGCGCGACAGTGCTACACTATTTGTATATTCAATAATTTACACAATGGTTATGAAGCTAGCTTGCATCGCCATGCTGCACATATTGAGCATATCAGTCATAAAAAATAATTATAAATTCAATCTTATTCTTAATATTTTAGAGTTACACTATCCAGACCTCAAGGAGTAATACCATAGAAGTGGAGTACGTTAATATTGAAGAGTCCACTAACGGATTAGAAGGTAAGTCACATAATTCTTTTAAATTTACATTTGAACTTTAATAAACTTTTAATAACTTTTTCTTGCAATGCCAGTACATAATTTAGGTACGTTGAATATTTTCTTTGCCTACTTCATGATCACCAGCATTGCTAGTCTTATCAGAATCACTAAAATCATTTGCTTCCATTGATAATAAAGCTTTGTTTATATATTGCGTTTACTATTAATTGTTTATTTTATAACGTAAACCGAAAATAATTAAAAACGGTTGGTTACATTATTGATAGGATAAACAAAGACATGGAATTGTTAAATGGGGATTCAAGTACTGCTGGATTAAGTAATAATTGTATTCTTAAGCGAATTCTTCACGCTCGGTTAGTTAATATACTTTTCATGTTCTTAAATGATATTCTAGCTTGCTCTATTCTGATTTTGATTTCCTTGGATAACTCCCAATTTTCATTTACTCAACACCCAAATCGTTCCTGCTTCTCTAAACTTTCGTTTAATGTACTAAAAACGATAACAACCCTTCCGTGACGTCGCGCAGATACCTGCTCCTCAGATCTAGAGAATACTGATCAGTTTACCGTAAGGGTGCATTCATTACGGAGACCATCGCGTCGTATCCTCGCCTAGAGCATAGCACTGACGGTGAACGCTCGCATTTAAAATAATGCTTTTATTTTACGTGGCGATGATAATATGATACCAGCCTATGGTCCGATCGACGGTCGGTGCCTCGTTATGAACGCACACTTAGGCTGGCGTTGGCGTTGTTTATGTGGGGTGTGAATCAGACATGTAACGTAAAAATATGTTGATGACTACACTCTTGGCAATTATATTTTCTGTTCTGTGTTCTACAGCTGCTCCGAATATATTCTGCATATAAATTAAATCAAAGTGGAGAGAGCACATAGCCTTCATAAAGTCTGACTCTAATAGAAACCGATTATTATTGTAATGTTCCTACAAATCTGTATCATTCATAACAGCAGTTAACTTTTTATTTTGAACAGTGTCAAATGTCATTGAACTGTCATTTCACTAAACTAATTATTATGTACTCTTTACATTACTTATTGTAGTACTTTATGTAGTACTTTAATACTCATGTAATAAACACAGTTGAGAAAGCTTAAGTGAAATAGATCTTCAGGCACTTTCAAAACCTCTGTCTGTACTCCATCTGGTCCCCGCGCCTTTCCACTTTCCATATTTAATGCTTGCTATGACGCGTACTAATTTTTCCTTAGTAATACTCGTGCCTCAGTCACATGCATTAATATTGTGTTAGGTAACCCTATTTGCTACAAAAATATTTTAAATATATTTTTTTCCATTCTTGTATTGTCCCGTTAATCATTCTTACTTCGCTTTTCTAATCTTAAAATTGATTTATTTTTGTACTTCTATGTACCTTGTAGAATTCTTGTTTTTATATGATCTGCAAAGGTCCATTAATTTTAGGATATCGTCGGTTAGCCAGTTTTTATGTTTGGTCTTATCTCTTTCTAACTTACCTTGACTAACCTTCATAACGGACGTTATCATCTGCTTCCAAGTATCTTCAATGCTTTCTTCATTTGTGATTTTTTCAATGCTGCTCAATCTTGAATTTAAATCGACTTGTACTTCTGTTCTTACTATTGGTCAGAGAACTTTGTTGTATCTATATATTATATTAGTTTTTAAGGTTTTGTGTAGTTGTCAGTTTATTTTTTAATATTGCAGCCAATATTGAGTAATAGGTGAAAATATTTGCACCTGGATAGGTTTTGAAGTTTTGTATAGTGTTCTTTAATCTTTTGTTAATAGTGATCCGAGGATATCCGCGGATAAACACAACCGCGGATTTGGTCAACATCGTGTAGAGCTGTAAGCTAGAGCACTTGGGACATATAATGAGAAATCAAGGCAGATACGAGCTACTCCAATACATTTTGCAGGGTAAAGATAAAGGAAAAAGAGCCCCAGGACGAAGAAGAATATCCTGGCTTGCTAACTTGAGAGCATGGTATAGAAAGACGTCAACACAGCTATTTCGTGTAGTAACCAACAAAATCATCATAGCCAGAATGATCGCCAACGTTCGGAACGGACAGGCACCCTAAGAAGAAGAAGAATAGTGATGTATCCGAACATTTTAATCTATATTAGAAATCGATTTATATAAGTGTCAGTTATGTATTAGCTATAATTAGCTTTTCTGTTCAATTTCAATTTCATTGTTTTGTTAATTTCAATGCGTTTTTGATATCTTTATAAAAATCTCTACTTCATCGTCCGAACCCATTACAAGGGGAAGCTGTGTTTATCTGTAGCAAGCATACTCACAGACGGTATGAAATTCTTTATTATCATTTTATATTACCGACTACCATAAATGTCCGTCTAACATTCCAGTGTCCAGTATCATTATCCAAATAGTAAATATTGCGATCTACTTTTTTTACTCTCATATTTAGCAAATACCGTATTATGTGGTTGTTCACTTTGAAAAAAGCTGTAAATATATGTTGTTATTTTTCTCATTACCGAACCGGAAATTCTTAGCACCTCCTGCCTAATAAAGGGCTATCGGGGACTGTGGACCGTGGTTTGATTGTTCTCGATCATGCTAAAGATTTTCCTAGGCATGTCTTTATAAACACTTAATGCAATGGTTTCTGTTGCCTTCTGCATCTCTATGCCTTTGAAGTTATATACAGTTTTATTTTATTTATTTATCTTTAGGAAGGATTTCTCCTTCTCAGGACAAAAGTGCCCCTAATTTTGTAGGTTCCTTCACCATAAACTTTTGGCTAACAAGAGGGAATTACTTATATAAGTAATTGTTCGGTATACTCTTTTATACTCACCTAAAAGCCAGGCTACCACATCCGCTAAGTTGACAGTTTCAAATATTTTTCTTCTTTACCTTTGATTTTATCTATTCGTCTTTAGGAAAGATTTCTCCTTCTCAGGACAAAAAGTGCCCTTATTTTTGTCGGCTCCTTCACCATAAGCTTTTGGTTAACAAGGGGGGATTAAATATATTAATAACTGTTCGGTATACTCTTTTATAAGTACTTGCCTAAAACTTAGGCTGTCACCTCCGCTGAATTGGCCGTTTCAAATATTTTTCTTCTTTGTCTTCATTGCCATTGTGGCCATCATCTGATATCTTAGGGACCCATCTTTATTTTTTTAGAAGTGTGACTCCTCTATGCATCCTCTTGTATCCATTTTCATTTTAAAATTGAAAGAGAACTACAAAGATCAAAAATCAGATTTATAACAGTACTATATGATAAACTCATTGCAATTTATTCATCACCAGTAAGAACTGGCTGGGCTGCTATGTAACTAAGCTTGATGTATAATGGTCTGATAAGTAACCTACCTTGAAACGAAAGACATATTTTTCCAGAAAGTTCTTAGAATTGTATTCGATATAGTCTCGATTTAGCTCAATACAACGATTCCAGTGATTTTCCAACTTCTGCATACTTTTATTTCGTCAAACTCTTGGTTTAAACTGATTTTTTATTTAGAAGCCATTTCTTCATATTTAAGAACACATAATAATCGGAGGGAGCCAAGTCAGGAAAAAAAGCCAGATGAAAAAGCAATTCGAATTCCAACTCAAAAATTTTTGGCTGCCTTTTTTTAAGATGGTCTTTTATCCTTTGCCATAATAAAATACAGTAGCCATAACCTTTCCAGTCCATTGAGCCACTCTTGGCCGCTTCAGAGCACTTTTGCCGGCTTCAGTCCACTGACATGCGTTTGTTTCGTTCTCTGGTGTGTAGTACTGGATCCAGGTGTCATCAACAGTTACCAATCGACATCAAAAGTCCGACAGATTGCCCTTCACAAGGTCCAAACACTGCTGAGAAGTAATAACATATTCATGTTTTTAGTCAATAGTTAGCAAACGCGGCACTCATCGACAGGAGAATTTTTTATATTCAAAGCTTTGTTCAAAATATGACTAGTGCGCTTTTAACTAATTCTTGTGGCCTCTGCCAATTCACTTATATTCACTTTACGATGAGCTAAAATTATTTCATGGACTTTCTTCACATTCTTCGGTGTAACTGCTGCGGACGGCCGCCCAGTACGTGGTTTAAAACTCGACCTAATATTTAAAACTAATATTTATCTAGGTTTTCTTGTTTCCATGTGCGTCTTTTTCCGAACACATTAACCTTATGTCAGCTGTCAAAAATATATTAATGGCTGCATTACGTTAAATGTATGCCTAAAAAAGGTTAGATTTTCTAGAACTAATGTTTTTTTTTAATCGCAGCGCCCTAATCGGCTAAGAAGGTTACTTATCGGACCACCAGACTCATTTTCTTTGCCAAGAAAAAATATTCCAAAATTTTAATTTTTCTCATTTTAAAATCATTTATTCAGTTTAACACTTCAGTTTTCTCATTTTAAATAAAGTTTAGATTCATAATAAATTTAGTAATTTACTGTAATTGTGACACGGATTTTAATTACTATTCTTTTATTTCTTTCTGCTTTATATAATTAAAAAATATGTTTTTCAATCCTACAGATTTTCTAGCCCCACCAGTTTCGAAGGAGGACATCGTCAATGAGTGTGGACTAGGTAATGACATATTCATTACTGATATAAATCCAAATGTATTAGGACTCAATTTAGCTGAAGTGGAAGGTATGGCAGACACCTACGAAGATGTTTTCGAGTATTACACCACCAAAGAATAATTATTTTCCACAGTGCACGTAAACAAAAAATATATTTTCTGTGTCTTCGTGCTCAAAGATGATATTCCAACATGTTGAAAATTTGTAAGGAATGGCTCAATTTTTAGTACCTTTAACGGATTGGTTAGGGTTTTAATTAGATACTTATCTTGAATTTCTTTAAATAATTGTTACATATTTAACTTTTATACATATAACTAAAAAACTACCAATTTTACTTTAGCTTGATATACAATGAAGATTTTATTTCCTATTTTGCGTTAACAATTTTGTTGGGATAAAAATGTGGAAAATAGTCTTAGTAAATGTGTGTAATAATTTTAGCTTAGTAAAATATTGAAATCTCAGTTGTATGTTTCTCTAGTTTTATTGTAATGGTATAAATAATCTATTCTAGTCAATTGCTTTACACGTTGTAGACCAAGGATGTACAAATAATAAAATCAGCCCTTTAGTTCTATAAACATTCCGTCCATACGATAACTCAGCGGGCTGAACTCTTATTATTTTGTGAGTAATTAAGTGGATGCTTGATTCGAGCCAGAAATCTTTTAAACGTAATAGCATAACATAAAAAGCAGATTTACAATTTTGAACTAGAAATCGCAGATAAATCGGCTAGGACGACGATGAGTGGTACAACAGAAGATTGGGTCGCAAGTGCTTTCACGACTTATTTAGTGATTACTAATGCTCGATGTAAGATGATGGAAAAACAAGAACATATATTAGACGAACCGCGAACCCCCACAAAGATGACCATCATCTGGTCCGTTGGCAACCGGACAAATTTGGTACCAAAATGTTCCTAATACAAATCTGCACAACTCTTCTAAATAATTTTTTTTTTTTTTTGATTGGGGTGAGGGAACATGTAACAAACATGTTGATAAAATATTAAAACTTTTTATTTAATAATTTTAATAATATTTTATATTTAACTCGCGATATCTCGGCTCAGTTTGAACATTTCGATTTCTAATTTTTGACATGATATAGTACATTTCCGCAAAAAAAGAGATTAGTTCGAACTCTTAATTTTGATTATAAACAAAATGGAGATTTTTTAAAAACATTGGGTTGAGTTTACCGGAATTACAAGCTGATTATAGCCGCAAATGTCAATCATGGAACAAAAAAATTTCGGTTTAGCTGTGTTGGCATATTTTTATCACAGAATAATAAACAATCAGAATGACCACTCTCAGATGCCGCCTTTGAAGTTTTTAAGCACGTGCGCCATGTTTTAGAATACATAACAAAGACATATGATATGTGAGGTTATGTAATTGTTTATATTTATGTTTAGTTATATTATATTTATGTTATTATATTTAACAATGTTAATATAATTGTATAGTATGTCTATAATTGCCAATTGTCAATTAAACCGGGTTAATTTTTTTATGCACACCACATAAATTTTCATTCAACAACACTGGTTCCCTTTAAAACATGGCGGAACGTCTGCGCGAACGAGATGCGCGTATAAACTTAATTTTTCATTGAGAGTGGGCATTCTGATTGTTTATTATTCTGTGTATCTATAATGAGGATGCTGTGTACTTCAAATATAAAGAGATAAAGATTTATAAAAGTACATTTTGATTAAATTATGATATAAATTCTGCAACTTTTGATTTATATAAAACAAGAATGAGTAAATATTTGTTTCTTTGGAGATTCACTGCAATTAATTATTGGAAATTTTTTTCCGCAATTGCCTTGATAGATTAGGGGATAGATTTGGCAATCGTCAAATCAGCAGTTGCCAGATTGCAACATATGTTTGCAATTAATCTCGAAAGAGATAAATATTTACTCGTTATTGTTTCATATAAATTAAAATTGCAGTAGTATAATAAAAATATAATTTTTAAAAGCTTTCTCCCTTTATATATGAAGCATAGGCATTATAAAAATACTTCATTGATTACTAACTTATAATAAAAATAGATAATACAAATATACAATTTACCATCAATTATCATCAAGTAATGGTGTAAATTATTTCGAAAGTACCTAAACACAATAAAAATTTGTACCTGTATCATTTTTTTTTAGTCGCAACGTGTAAGTAATCCGTAGCAATAAATAAAAAATTGTATATATTTTTCAACTCTGTGTTGTAATTACTTCAAGTTATAATATTTAGAATGGTAATATTTTTATACGTAGTAACTCGCAATTGTAAACTTAATATATTATGGAATATAATCAGCTTTGAATAAAATATTTATTAAAAATGTGGTTTTTTTTTATTTTATTAATAATAATTGTTAAAACTTTCTATTAGTATTAGTAGCAACTATACTACAGGATTGGCAACTCAAAAAAGTCAAGTCTGATATTTGATAAGATTCATTGGATTTTGTGAAAAAGGGGAAACACTTTGATTTTTATTTCGAAGGGGTCATCTTTTAACTATACAGACATCTATCATTTGTCAACCCCTTTCTTTCCAGTACCACAAACCTTTAATTTTAAATTGAGAATATCATGTATGGTACATTATTAGGTAATCATGTATCAAGTATTTCGCTGGAGAATTTAGGCATCCAGACTTTTAGCTTTAAGTTTTTTTCTACGGCAATTGTTCCTGCTACCTTCTGGGTATCGGTGCTAGGAATACCTACACAGAAAGCATCCTTAGTCGTTGCATTATTACCCAGATTATGGATATTACCAACCACAGGCTTGTTTTTATTACTATACTAAACACATTCGTCAACCAATTCATACTATTTATGTCTAACTATAATTTTATCGTCACTGTACCTACAATGTATTTGTACATTATTCTGTCCCTGTTCCATGTCTATTGTATTCCTCTGATATTATCTCACATCTCTCTTGCTTTATGTACCAACCACCTCATTTTCTCTTTTTAGTTTCTTTTTGTTTCATAGGATGACTGTTTTTCTTTCTCCTTTTTCTACTTTAATGGAATACGTTTTACTACCAATTTTCTGTTCTTTTAAAATTAATTTTGACTTAAAAATGGTATTAATATTAATTGTATAAATCATATTTGCCGTTTACTCCTTTAGCTTTATTATATCTTTAGTGCCTATAATCCGTTAAAGATTATATTACTTTTAGTCCAGGAGGAACCTGTTTTGAATTGGACGTTTTCCATGAGTCTATTTTTCGCTTTCGCTGCAATCGCTTCAGGATATGACTTGTATCAATCATCATATGCGCCAGTCGCAAACCTTGTGATTAGTTTGTTATTTAATAAAATCTGGAAAAAATCGAAAATGTTTGCTTTTTGCGCCCATATTTTCGCCTATACCTGGAGAGATATTGCTCACAAAAATAAGTTATAGGGTAACGGTAAAAAGCTTTTAAAAATTTTCGTTTTTCAATTTCACATAATTATTTGACTATTAATTGAAAATTTAAGGTTTATTCAAATAATGGTTTGCTCGTGTGAGTTCATTTCAAACTGGATAGTAGAAATAAATGACATATTTATTCACAATCTATTTATTTAGTAAGCGACGACCGGTTTCGACCACTACAGTTTTCTGAAACGAAAATGCAGGCACAAAAATAAAAAAAATTTGATTTTTGATTTTGATCTGGCCTATATCGTAACTATTGATAAAAGATAAATCCTAAAGTGATTCCAACAAAAAAATAGAATCCTATGGAAAATGTTTATTATGGTCTGCTTTTCGATAGATACCGCTCGAGTTATTTTCCTTTTTTCCTCATGGATTACTTCAAATTTTGTATTACAGATTTTGTATACTTTGTCTTATCATTTTATTTTCCATTTTCATTAACTAATTTTTCATCCTTTGTATTTCTAGTTTTTCATTTTTTATTTCCCCAATATATATCACCTCAGATTATTTATTGAATAAATTAAGTTATACATTCATTCATCTTTTTTCATCCGTTTATATCATTTCCGATTCCCTTTTTTTTATTTATCAGTCACAGTCATATTTGTCATTCAGTTTTCTCTATATTCATTTCTGATATCTTTTTTCTTGTTTTTCGGGTTCTTCTTTGGTATCCCTTGGAGGTGTTCTTATTGTTTTCTTATTTTTCTCAAAAAAGCTTCTTCCTAGTTGAGTGAATTTACATGATCTGTTTTTTTTCTTTTTACTACTTCTTCATTTAGATAATATTGAAACTATTTGATATTTAGCACAACTTTTCAGTTAAAATGTTCACTGTTATCCGCATTGTTAAAATTTGATTTTTTTTTAATTAATTTGTTATTTCTGAGTAACAAATAATTATTAATTCATGATAAAAATTCGTGTATGTATTATTACGACAGCATTGCTAGTTGCAAAAAAACTAAGCATGTTATCATGAAATGAAATATTTCTATCCCTTAAACATGTTTATATGCCACCTTTTTCACTAGGTACTTGAAGTAGGAACCTTGTCCGCATGTTTCTTGTAATATGGTGCGTTTTCAACAATCATCATCATCAATTAGCCTATGTTTGTCCGCTGCTGAACGTAGGCCTCCCGTAAAATTTTCCACCTATTTCTGTCTTGAGCTTCTTGCATCCAGTTTGTGGTGATGCGCTTGATATCATCCGTACATCTAGTCGGTGGTCGTCCTCTGCTTCGATATGCATCCTGCCTTGGTAGTCATTCAAGAATCTTTTTGGTCCATCTGTCATCCGTTAATCTGGCAACATGTCCGGCCCAAGCCCATTTAGCCCTGGCTATTTTTTCAACTGCATCTGTGACTCCTGTTCTTCTTCTTATTTTTAGGTTTGGTACTTTATCTCTAATGGTAATACGTAATATTGATCTTTCCATAGCGCGTTGTGTAACTCTTATTTTATCTATTGTTCTTTTTGTCAGAGTCAGTGTTTCTACACCATATGTAAGAACCGGTAAAACGCACTGGTTAAAAACCTTTCTTTGTAAACAAACTGGGATACTAGACTTGAAAATGTTATTCAATCTACCAAAGGCAGCGCATGTGAGACCTATCCTTTTTTGTATTTCAGTTGTCTGATTATCTCGGCCTAGGCGAATCTCATACCCTAGATATTTGTAAGCTATTACTTGGTCGATGCTATGGCTCTCAATCAGAATTTTACCGCTGACTACAAGGTTGGTCATAAATTTTGTTTTTGAGGTGTTAATTTTAAGACCAATTGTTTTTGACACTTTATAGAGCATGTGCAGCATTTTTGTAACTTTATCAACTCTATCAGATACTAAAACGATGTCATCGACAAATCTTAGGTAGTTCAGATCTTCATCATTTATATTAATTCCCATATTATCC